GTGCTGCCAGGTGTAAATCCCTTCCTCCACAGCCAGGCCATGGATGCCACAAAGTGAGAGCTGAACTGAGGAAGCTGAAGGAAATGAGGAGGGAAATGGATAAAGGATGTCCTTCCTGGCTTCCAGGGCATTGCCTGTGGCACGGAGCACTGCCATTAGCTGATTTCAGTTTGCAGAAAGATTGCTCTGTTCCATGGTTCTCTTCAATCCAAAGGTTATTCCAGTGCTTTGGGTGTTTTGCTGCAGAGGAAAATGAGGACAGGCTGTGAGTTATCATTTAGAGTTGGTTTTTAGTAGGAAAGGTAACACAACAATAATTTAATTTAATTTAATCTTTTTTTTTATTCCCCCACCTCTGTAATTTTCATAGCTCAGCAGTAAGTGCAGGGGGGACATGAGGGGTGTTTGGGGACAGTGTGAGGAGACAGAGCTCCAGTCTGGGATGGAAATGGACACCCCACAGCATCGCTGGGACCTTGGCTGGGCTCAGCTTTTGTGGGGCTCTTTTGTGGGGCTGTGTCAGTCCTGGAGCACCTGGTGACTGATGGAATCCTGGAGCCTCTCCTGTGAGGACAGGCTGAGGCTGGGAGAGCTCACCTGGGGGAGGAGAAGGCTCCAAGGACACCTCAGAGCCCCTTGCAGGGCCTGAAGGGGCTCCAGGAGAGCTGCACAAGGACTGGGGACAGGGATGGAGGGACAGGACCCAGGGAATGCTTTAAGCTGACAATGGGTAGATTCACATGGGATGTTGGGAAGGGATTCTTGGCTGTGAGGGTGAGGAGGGCCTAGGATGGAATTCCCAGAGCAGCTGTGGCTGCCCCTGGATCCCTGGCAGTGCCCAAGGCCAGGCTGGACATTGGGGCTGGAGCACCTGGGACAGTGGGAGGTGTCCCTGCCATGCCAGGGGTGGAATGGGATGATGTGAAGTCCCTTCCCACCTAAACCATTGTGGGATTTTCTGACCCGTGTTATTCCAGGTCTGTGTGGGACCAGAACAGGCCCTGTTGCTGTGTGGGACCAGAACAGGCCCAGCCCCAATGGAAGGAAGCTCAGCATCACATTTGGCTCTTGTGTAGATTCTGTAAATTTACAGAAGAGAGATGTGTGTTAGAGATGGATGTTGTTTATAAACCAGCCCAGGTCTGACTCCTGTCCTGCTCTGTGCTGGGGGGCACTGGCAGCAGGGTTGGGGCGTGCATTGAGTGGGACATGCTCTATATCCTCTATTTTCCTTGCACTTAATCCCATTTTATCCAGAGCTACTCAGCATTGGGTGCATTCACCTCTTTGTTTGTCATGAGGACAAATAAATGGCCCTGCCTCACTAAAAGCTTATTAATTTAAAGTAAATGCAAATCTGGAGAGGGTCTGGGTTGTTTCAGAGGCAGTGGCCGCTAAGCAAAGATGTCACATCACATACTCTGAGTTTATTTTGCACACAGCTTGGAGGAACTGAAATAAAAAGCAAAAAGATGAAAACCATTCTTAACTCCTTTGCCAACAGGCCCTTGTATGATACTGTGCAAACCAGAAAAGTTGTAGAGGTACATGGCAGATGAAAAATACTTAAGCCACACAAAAGTCACTGACAGGTAACATCTACTCATCTCACTATTTGTACAAAGTAGCTTTTATATTACTGGGGGGAAAAAAAGAGAATAAAGGGCGCTGCATCAGCTTGTGGGCTGCTTGTGGATCAAAAGCATTACCTTCAGTGCAGGCTGAAAATAGAAAACAGACACAACTGTGAAGGTTTTCATGTGAAAAAGTGGGAGACGAGCTTGCGTCAGGAAGAGCTGGACAGAATTTCACTGAAATGGAAAATAAGTAGGTGAGTGAGTAGGTGCATGTGACACAAAAGATAGGAAACCTGGGTCTAATCTAACTTTCTGCTCTTGCAGATGGCCTGATTTTCTTCTCCTCTCGTGCCACATTACCGAAATTTCAATTCTCTGATTTCAATTATTACACTATTTATACTGCTGTACTTCCAGGAGTCCCTGTAGGGAAGAGGCCTCATTATTAATGGAACACAAACAACTCTAATGGTTCAGCTTCAAAGAAACCCTCCTGAAAATGGGGAAGGGAGGTGCAGAGTGGCAGAGAGGAAATTCCAGCAGGTCTATGTGCATGAGGAGCTGCAGCCCTAGGAGCTGGGGGATGTTTTGGGTGATGGAAACCCTCCCTTGGTGCAGATGTTGGGCTCATCCCATGGCTCCTTTCCCCAGGATGCTCTTTGGGAGGGATGGGTTTGTGCTCAGGGATGGGTCCCAGAACCAGCAGAAGGAAACTCGGGATGGGTTTTGGTCAGGTATTGTGCTAGGAATGGGTGAAGTGTCCCTGACTGGGATGGATTCCTTGGTGACTCCAGCTCAGGTGAGGGCCAAAGGCTCTCCAGGGTACCAGGAACTATCCCACCTTTGTACCCACCTGGTTTATCCCATTTTTTTCCCAAGTTTCCTGCACTATTTCTGCTTTATTTTTTTTGGCCTGGTTCTCTCCTTATATTTTTTGTGGGTTTTTTCCCTCCTGATGTAGAATATTCCTCTCCCCATGTCTGTGTGCCATTGCTCAGTGGCCTTTCAGATCTCTCCTGCTCAGGATAAGTGTGGCTTGCTCTTCCAGGCTTCCCTTATTTTCTTATTTTCTTAGATAAGACTATTTTCATAGATAAGACTACCCCCTATTCTTTGAATCAGGCTGCAGAAACCTATTTAAAGGAATCACCTATTTATCTTCCCCATATTTTTTTTTTTTTTTAATTTAAAGGCTAGGTTAGAGTTTATTTATCAGCCATACAGGTTTCTTTATTTTGCAATCTTTCAGAAATATACCCATCCCATAAATATAATGAAATTTCATGAGAAAAACATTATTTGATATACAAAAGGCACCGTGCTGTGCTTCTATCACACTGAGGGCAGCTGGGAGTTAAGCAAGTGCACAATGCATGTGCCCAAATTATCTCCAGAATGAGGCCCAAAATTGGGCTGCACTCCTTCCTCTGCCTTCCATAGGAAGCTGTGATTTTTATCACACCCAATAATTTAAATAAAAACATTCAGATAAGCAGCCAAGTATCTGGCTCAGGGAGAGCAACTAGACAGAAATTGATCTTGTGTTTTATAAATGCTGTGGCTTCAGAAGATTTGCAAACCCTGAAGCTTGTCTGCTTTGTTTCCCCCCAAATAAATTATCTTTTCCAATAAAGATATAACTGCTGCCTATAAACCTGTCTTGATGTCTGTCTCCAGACTATCAACACTTCTGCACAATGAGCTTTTTTCAGCAGATAAATAAGCACGTGTGGCAGATTAAATTTGCTCGTTGTAACCTTGCTTTGTTGTGCACCACGAGCATCAATTCATTGGGATGGAAGAGAAGGAGTGGCAAAACTGAACCACACTTTGTGTGGATTTTCCTCCCTTCTCCCATTGTATTTTTATGGCTGCTGCACAACAGAGCAGGCTGTCTGTTTAGGGAGTAACCCATCTGTGCACAAATGCTGATCCCCTTCCTTTTTTCTGCTGTTTTGGGTAATGCTGGGAAGTTCATGCTCTGCAGAATGGTCAGGGAAGGCCCATGGAGGAGTATCAGAGAGGCTTTGATGTTTTCTGGAATCACCATGGGAGCTCCAAAGTGTCAGACAACACATCCATGGGAGGATAAGGATCCGCCAAGGGCTCTGAAAACCTGGATCTCATGACACTTCCAGAATGCAAACCCTACAAAATATTAGAAGGGCCTGAGCCATTTAATTTGTGTGGTTGAGATTGCTCAAGTGAGCCAAGGAGAAAGGAGAGCAGGGCTGGAGCCAAACTTTTCTCATTTTGCTGAGATATGCTTCATAAATTGCTGTTCTGAGCAGGGAGCTTCCTGCCTGATAATGAGAATAAAGGCCTGGACTTCTGTCTAGACCCTCCCAGGCCGATGAGATGGTGTCTCATGTGCCTCCCCAGGGGACAACCAAATCTTGGGCCAGCTTTGGATCATCTCTTCTAAGGGCTGACACTGTGTCCTCCCAGCCCTCAGTCACTTGGGCTGCATTAAAGGGGTGTAAGAACTCTGTAACAAACAACTTTCCTCTCTCCAATGTATTTTATCTTTTTTATCTTGTGAGGTAGTTTTTTTGTTTGGGTTTTTTTTTTGGGGGGGGGTTTGTTTTGATTTTAGTGGGTTTTTTGTTGTTGTTTTTTGGTGTGTTTTAGGTCAAGTGTTACATTTTTAAAAGCACGTTGAAAAATACCAGATTTTATTTCTGCTCACATTGCCTTAGCCATAGTGGCAGTACAGATGTTTTTAAGCTAAACCTAACAGTGATTAAATGGGGGTAATTGTGCTCAGAATATGACTCTTCATCCATCCTTCATGAGAGCATTAGGTGAGCACAGAGAGTGTGGCAAACCCCAGCAGAGTTTTGACTGTCCTGTGGCACCTGGAGGCCATCCCTGTCTCCTCTTTGATTTATCCTCAGTTATTTTTGCAGCTCTTGTCCTGGGATATTGGTTTTAGGGCTCTGCCTGGACAGGCACAATGCCATTAATGTGTTTAGGGAGAGGAAAGCCACTTGATAAATGCTGCATGCAAACAGCTTTTTGACCTGGTGGTATGAATGGAACTCATCTGCCTGTGGAGGAGTAGAGTGTTATTTCAATGAGTTTATCTTCTCTTTCTCTCCCAGACCTTTTTTCCCCACTAATGAGGTTGTTCATCCTCTATGATCTTATCCTTGCATCCTGATATCTCTACTCTTAATGTGCAGCCTTTGTCTTCTGCTGCCACCATCTAATCCCCTCCAACTCCTCTGAACCCCTCTGATTCCACAGGTTCCCTCTGAAATTCCTGTAGGTTTTGACTCTGACATTCCAAGTTTCATGTTTAATCCTTTTCCTGGGTGATTTCCTTTTGAATGTGCTGCCAAGCCCCTCAAGTACCAATGTTCCCCTTGCCAGATGCTCTTCCCAGCTAACCTGAGGTGCCTCTCGCTGTCCTTAGGTGACCATGTGGGCAGCAAAGAGGAGTCCCCAAGGATGCAGGTGTCCAAGGACAACTCCAAAGATTATGAGATAACAATTCCCTTCCTTCTGAATGGAGAGCAGTGGAGACCAGTGCATGGCATTTATTCAAAGGTCAGTCTTCATTTTGCCTATTTGTTTATTCTGAGGTGTGTAACAATTTAAAGGCTGTAGGGGGGATTTAATGCATTTTCACCCTATAGGTTATAACAGTGTTTTTATATAATTTAATGTTTTTATATTATTTAATTTTTTTATCAACATGTGTTGCCACATGTTTGAAATTGATGCCTGTTTAATTTAAGAAATGGATAAGGGTTTTGGTTGAAATAAATACCTTTTTCCTGCAGAGATGCATTCTTCTTCCTGATGGCAGAAATGAAAGTTTAAAGTGAAATAATAGCAGTTTAATTGCTTGAGATTCTGTCATGCAACAGCAAAATGAAAACTGAGGGAGGGGTGAGCGCACCAAACAGGTTTGTTTGGTAAATACAGTCTGACAGCAAGGAATTTAGGGACCAGTGGAAATAATGCTGTGCTGGCTGCAGCCTGAGGCATTATCTGGCCTTAATTATCCCATGGGAGACCCCCAGATTCCATCCCTGTGCTGGACTGGGGCTGAGGCTCTCCCTTCACACTCTGCTTCCCCTTCCCTAACCAGGGCAGGATCTGCCCCTGGCTCTGAGGTTGTTTCCCCCTCTTGACAGGCCCTGACAAGCTTTGCTCCTTTTTCCCCCCAGACATTTGTGAACAATGTAGGAAGCTGCACTTAGGAAAAAAAAAAGGCTGGGTTTTATCTCTTTCTGGAAGTATGAAGACAGTTTGTTGTTTATTGTCACCAAATGTATCCTGGGAATCTCTTACCCAACCTTTTAACTCAGGCCCAGTTTGATTCCAGCTCAGTTTTTATGTCGTTCTTTGAATTATCTTAATGAAGAAGGGAAAAAGTAAGGTTTTTAAGTAGTTAAAAAAAAAAAAAGAGGGAGGAAAAAAACCAAGCAAAAACAATTCAAAAAGCCCAGAGAGCCAATTAGAAACAGCTTTTCTTGCTGGATTGGGAAAGTATTCCATGGAGAAATCCTGCCTGACTACTGCCACTGCTTGCAGGACGTGGCTTTGGATCACGTTGCTGATTGACACCAGTAGGTGTGAAAAGATATTTCCAGACAAGGGCTCTGACTTTCACAAAAAGCTTGTCCAGATTAAAATTGTTCCTTCTTCTCCTCTGTCCCTTCCTAAATAGGAGAGAAGGGCCAGGCCCAGTTCTGAATCTGTGCAGTGATGAAAGGGATATCAGAGTGGGTGCAGAATGGCTTATCTTGGAGAGATAACACAGATGGCTTGGTCCTAGATGTATGTGCAACTCTATTTTTAGATTATTTAATTAGAAACAGGCATTCTCCATATAGAGAGAGGCCTTTTAGCTACTCACTGGAGCTCTCTGAGAGAGTTACAACCCAGTATCACTCTGTGAGTAATGATAATGTGATTTATATCGTTAATTTGTTTCCCAGAATTACTTTCAGTTTAAGATGAACGCTAGAAAAGATTTGTGGCTTGGTAGAAAGATCCACGTGCTGTATCAGCACTTTTTTTTTCCTTTCCTTTGAATACTTCTTTTCCATGGAAACTTATAAATTAAATACACAAAAGTGCACATCAGGCTGTGGGAAGAACAACAGCTTCAGTGGTGGAGGAGAACAGTAATGAATAGCTTGTCACATAAATATTGATCAAAAGCACAAAAGTTAAATACTGCTGTATTTGATGGCTAAGTGGGATCTATTGTTCCTCAACTCGTTTCAAAGTGTTCCTCTGTTTTATTTAATTGTATATGAAGTCAAAAAAAGTATGTACTTGTAAGAGGGGAATGGTATTGCAATAGGATATATGGTAAAATAAATAATGGAGTGGCTATAAAAATGCCAAGAGATTAAAGTTATTTGTGTACAGATAATTGCCTGGCAATGATGGCCCCATTCCCCAATCCTTTAACTGTAAATACTCCTGCTTAACAATTAGTCCCTGGGAAAGCACACTCATCATTTAGTGCAGCCTTCTCTCCCATCTTGGAGATAAAACTGTCCTTTTATTTACCCCAGGAGTCGCTGCAGTATCTGTTGGAATCTCTCACTTGGAATCTGTCAGCAGTGATTATTAAGCTAATGACTTTCTCGTTGAGGGCCCATACACTGTGCAAAAAATGTGAGATAATTCACACAGCCTAATGGCACAAACACACAGGACTGCTCAGCAGCAGTGAGGAAATTCCATTTACTGAGGGGAAAAAAAGAAAAATTGCTTCTCTTTAACCAGATTTTATTTTAATACACTTGGGATGTGCTTTTTCGAGGACATCTCGTGATTTAGGTGTTTAGGTGTAAACCTATGAAAGTTTTTAAATTGGTGACAGGCAAACCCAAGTGTTAAATACAGATATGTAATTAAATTATATTTAAAGATTTTGGGGGTTCCCAAGTGTAAATTAAGGGTTTTGTGTCTGGAGAGAGCTGATCATTTACTGGGCAGGTCAATTTTTCTCTCCACTTTCCCCAGCTCAGGTCAAAGCTCTGTGAAACCAAGGCCAGGATTTCATGGTGGCACCCTTTCAGAAATGTTGTTGCTTTTTTCCTGTTTAAAAGATGCCCGTGCTGATGCCATCACTCTATGTAGAATCATGGAATCCTTTAGGCTGGAAAATACCCCCAAGATCATGGAGTCCAGCCTTTGGGCACCACCTTGTCCATAAACCACAGCCCTGGGTGCTACATCCAGTCATTTCTTTAAGATTTCAGGGATGGAGACTCCAACACTGCCCTGGGGAAGCCTGATCCAAACTCTTTCAGTGAAATTTTTTTTTTCCTAATATTCAACCTGAGCACAACTTGGGGCCTTTTCCCCTTGGCCCATCAGCATCCTGGATAGGGAAGAACATTTGAAAAATAAAATATAGATACTTAAGAGAAGCTACTATGGAAATACCTCAGTTTGTACAACTGTGTGATGCTGTTTGTTTAGTTGGGGTTCATTTCTCCTGGCAACTTCTTTTGTTTTTCAATTCAGAAAATGTATAATTTTCAGTGGGAATATTTTACTGTTACCTAATTCTTCAATTAACTGGATATAATATTCACTTGCCAACCTTAGTGGCTGCTATTTGGAGTGTCCAGTTGTTGCTGCTGAGGAGAAAATGCTGCATTTGGGGATGTATGGCAGCGGGCTCGGGCCCTCAAGGGTTGGGCTTCAAACAATGGCTGCCCATATTCCCTGCAGATGTGATTTCCTCCTTCCCTGAAATTCTGTGTGCATTACAGCATGTGTTGATAGGTCATTATACATTGGAGCTCCAGTTGTCCTTCCACTTCTCTTTTTTCATGTGCTCAGCACTTTGCGTTCTGTGTTGATTGCCACCCCCCACCTCAGCGCTCGCTTTAAACACACAAGGGTTGGGTTCTATTTTTCTTAAATATTTCTAAGGTTTGAACAAAGTGGTTTCATTTTATATTATTTAAGTGCAGCAAAAAAAAACCCCCTCCTTTCCCCCCCACATATTTCCAGCTGAATATTTTTCTTCCAAACTTGGCTGGAGATTCACAAATCAAGCCAAGTTTGATGAGAGTTTGGGTAAGTGATGTTTTAGTACACAGAACACTTTAGGGAAGATTTTTTTGAAGACCATCTGTTTGGCTTCAGCTTTTATCCTCACACCCTGTTAGGGACACAGAGGGCTTGGTGTGTGCCAGATGCCTGCAGCACAGGAGCTCTGGGTCAGGTAATATCAGTGGTGTTATTCCAGAGCCTCATCCCTCCTCCTGGGGAGACAAGAGCCAGGCAGGAGATGTTTCACGTGGGCATTGAGGGCCTTTTGGCTCCATTTCTGTGCTTTAAAGGAATTTAGGAACCAGTGGAAATAATGTGGGGAAATGCTGCCAGGCATGGAAAAGCTGCAGTGCCCAGTGTGGCATTGCCCTGGGCTGGCACTCGTGTTCCCAGAGGGACACAGATTAATGGAGCTGGCTTTGGACCCAGGGTTTGGTCCAGGTTGGAAAATGCATGAAGTTCCTGAGAAATGGAAAGTATTTTATGAGGGTTTGGTGTGATTGGCTATGCAGGTAAACCCAGAGGGCTCAGGTGGGGCAGCAGCCACTCAGGTGTGGGGTTTTCTCTGCCCCTGTCTGTGTAGGACCTGCCATGCCATTGCTGGCACCTGCAAGGACTCAAAGAGAGTCAGGACCAAGTGCTTTGGAAGATTTAATCCTCTCAATTCTAAAATCACATGGGCAAGTTAGGTGCAGCTTTCCTTTCTGGGGGATATTTTGGACATTTGATGAGTACAGATCTTTTGTAATCCTGATCTCTGTACCTATCCAAGTGCAAAATTAACGTGTGGGTGCTCCAGCAGGATACAGCTGCCATTCATAAAAATAACTGGGCAGGTATTTGAGGATCTGCAGCCTGGAGCTCAGTGTGGTTCCTAAAAAACTCTTTGAGAAGCTGGAAAGCTCTGAGATGCTCAAACTTAGTTTGAGTTTGCAAGTTGCCAGCCCAGGTTGCCTTCAAATGATGGATTTTGATTTTTGATGTTAAATTTGGGGGATATGTGAATCAATGAGCAATTTTGCTTTGTGACTTCTTTAAAATAATTGACTCTGGGGAAGTAGCTGTGCACAATCTGCCTGTCACTGGGTTAGACCCTTAATTCACCTGGGTCACTGTGAACCTCAAGGGACCCTTTTAAAATGCTGTCACTGACCTCAGTATATAAACATGGATTGGAAAATCCTCCTCTCCCCACCTTGCAGAGGGTGAGAGCTCTCATTCTGTGGCTCCCCACACCCCAAGAGATTGGGGTTGTGTTGGAGTTTGAAACAAGCAGAGGAAAAGAAATAAAGGGGCTCATAGTGGGCAGAGAGGATGGCAAGACCTGCAGGACATTTCCAGCTCTCACTCCACCACCAGTGACTTGGAAATGCAAATAAATCAGGAATTCCTCTCCCCTCTGGGCAGGGGCAGTGGATTCAGGGATCACTAACACTGCTTTGCCAAGCTGGAGTGCTCAAGGCCAGATTCTGAGCTCTTGTGAATCTGTTTCCTTCCCTTGCCCAGGCTGGAAT